GAGAGATGAGAGAAAAGGAGGGAGTGGAGGAAGATGGAAGGATGGAGGGAAGAAGATGAAAAGGAACGGAAGGACGAAAGAAGGTGGGGGGGGGGGGACGTAGGGAGGGAGAACGAAAAAGGAGAGAGGGAGGAAAAATAAAGAAACTGAAAGCAGTTGGATCACCAAACGAAACCGTTGGGTGATTCTACAGGAATGGTTCAAATCTTTTTCCCACTAATATAGAGAAAAATATTATACAGACACATAGTGTATAAATTCGACAAACGGACGGATCTTGGATGCATATTTGGGTATCCAAACTAACGGATCAAAAAGTTCAAAAAATAAACACTTGTGGTGTTTTTCACAAATCAATTATTTTGTATTTGATTTTTACGTCAGAGTAATCAAAGACATGCAAGCCGAATCTCCTCTGACTTCTGTATCATTCATGCAAGATGGAGCTGCCTTTGCTGTGGGCACAACACGTGGTAAGCATTCTGTAAAACTTTGCCATATATTAATGTTTGGAATATAAACCAAATGTTTCCGTTAATGTAGGTAAGGTCTACGTGTATGATCTTCGATCGGGCAGCACTCCACTTCAGTCAACGGTAGCTCACAAGACTGCTGTGCACTGTGTTTCCTTTCAACTCCAATCCAAGGTTTGAAATATTATTGTTTAATGAGGCTTGGTTAACATTTTTATTATTTAGTATAATTGGATGATAGGAAGAATGGAATTACCTTACGTAATTGCTCTCTTTGTAATATACTGAACTCCGTGCCGGATTAACCACAATGGCAGAAGTGGTATATGCCACGGGCCACACGCTTTTCAAGGCCCCGCGCTTAACTTTTTGAATTAGGTTAAATGCTAGTATCCCGAAGACAGTCAACGGCATAACCATCCAACTTGAATGATTATGCCGAAGACAGTCAACGCCATAACCATCCAAGTTGAATGGTTATGCCGAAGACAGTCAACGGCATACAGTGTAAGCATTCAACTTAGATGTTCATGCCGTTGAATATGTTCGGCATAAGCATTCAACTTAAATGTTTATGCCGTTGAATATGTTCGGCATAAACATTCAGCTTAGATATTTATGCCGTTGAATATGTTCGGCATAAACATTCAACTTAGATGTTTATGCCGTTGAATATGTACGGCATAAACATTCAACTTAGAATTTTATGCCGTTCAATATGTTCGGCATAAACATTCAACTTAGATGTTTATGCCGTTCAATATGTTCGGCATAAACATTCAACTTGGATGGTTATGCCGAAGACAGTCAACGGCATAACCATCAAAGTTGAATGGTTATGCCGAAGACAGTCAACGGCATAACCGTCTATGTCAATGGTTATAGTGAGCGGGCTAATTAAAAGATGCCTTAATATAATTGTTGCGTTTTAGGCTACACAAATAACTTTAGGAGTGTAGGAAAATTTCCTATATGCTATATTCGGCATATTGTTTATTTTTTGTCCCTCCGAACAAGCGACTAGGCCCAGTCCTCTTCTCGATTGGTAAGTGGCTTATTGTGCCATTCTGGTTTCCGCAGAAAACTTTACCGTGTTGTATAATTTTGTATTCTATTGAAATACCAGCGCTGTTCTTTAGGGAAGCAGTTCAACCTCCTCGGCTACTTTAGCTGCAAAGTTTACAAGTCGTTCTGCGACGGATTCTGCAGCGAAGAGAGATGGTGCCCCACCCCTACCCCCTGGAATACCAGGCAAGCCGAAGCACACAGAAGCAGTTCAAAATGGAGTGCAACACAGCCAAGGGAGTGATATCTTTTCACCACTCAGAGAAGGTTGGCTAAATGTTTTTATTAAGGCAAAAAAAAAAATATGTGGGTTTCCGGTTTCTTCTTATAAAAACTTAGGTAGGGTAGGTCGGTTTTAACTTTTTTTTTTAAACTTTTTTTTTAATTTTCCGAACAAGCGGACGCCATTTTGTTTAGTCAATGCTTCCACATGCAAAGATAAATTTCCCTAATATTGCCTCAAATTTCAATTTTCCACAAACTTTTTCCTCTAAGTGGAAACACTTACAAGCATGATCCAATAAAAAAGTTTAGGGTCGGGATTTCGACGTCGAAAAGCTAGGTAGGGTCGGGAAACCGGAAACCCACATATTTTTTTTTTGGCCTAATATAAATTAAACTTGATATTATCTCTTGATACTATCACGAAGCACAGCTAGGATGGAAGGATTAGTTTTTAGGTATTTCCCAACCCACCCTACCAACAATCCATAAATATAATGACATAAGATTTTGTGTTTTCTGAATAGGTACAAGTGTAAGTGTTATAAACGATTTGGAACCAAATAGTGATGATTATGAACCTGTCAATTCGAAAAGAACAGAAAATGTCACAGGTGCGAAAAAACGTGTTTGTTATAGCAGGTCATTTAATTTCGTATACAAATATCATATTTGAAAACTTTTCAAAATTTCCCCCACAGCCTCTGGTATATTTTCACCCATCAACAACAGTTCAACACAGTCCTATCACCCACCTACTTCGAAACCTAGCGCAGACCCCACCCCAACCTTAAACGGACACCCTCCTTCCTCTACATACGAAGACGCACCCCGCGTCACTAGGCAATCCGGTGCATTTCCCACCTCTACGTCACAAGTTCCTGAAAGAGGTTCGACTCCCACCCACACACCAGAAATTTCACGCAGAGATAAACAGAGAACTAGCATAACACGGAAAGTTAGTTCCGAAAAACAAGCGCTCGTCGGCAATACTCAAACAAAATTATCCACCTCCAATACTCAAGGACAAGGCGAAGCCAGTACTTCACATAATAACAATCTAGCCACTGGTAACAGTTCTTCAACAAAAGTTGATGAAATGTCCTCTGCTCGACTAAGAGGCTCACGAGAAGGTATGGTTTTTGACGATACGTTTGAAGGTATGAATTTAAAGGTAGATTTATATACATAGTAAAAACCTATAGATTCATTATAATCTATACATTGTGTTGCACTTGTGGCATATTCAATATTTCGAGACAAGCCCACCTATGCTATATAGTTCATTCTGTCTTAAAGTTTATGATATATTGAGTGCTCTTTAGGACGATTTACACGACACAACGTTTGCCTAAATCTGTCGCATGCAACCTGCTTACAACTTGAGTTGTACTGTGTAAATCAAACACACAACTCAACTATATGATTTTCATATCTATCCTTTACAATAACTAATATAGGAAGAGGAAATTAGCGCAACGCAATTACAGACTCCTCGACTTAAGAGGGTAACATAGATATATTGCTTAGATGCATTTATGTGGGGTTTTTTCCACAGTTTCGACCATTTATTACTACGATAATGTTAAGTCAAGCATTTATTCAGCTTAGAGGAATGATATTAGATCCATTTTGATATTAACTATTTATGCATTTGAGTAAGTGATCAACAAATATATTGAAGCATAATTCACACTTGGTTTTACTTGGTTTGTCACGTTCCAAACAAACTATTAAATTGGAAATAAATATAAAATAGCATCAGGACAGTTCAATCGCGAGTAAAACCTAATATCTTGTATATTTATTTATTACATTTTAATGACTTTTTTGCATTTATTTTTCTCGCTGAGTCGAACAAAGATCGCCGCTCCTTGTTCCGGTTCCACAGAGACTAAGCTTCTTTGTTTTCTTGGATTCCGTGTGAATATTGTGTCAACACAGTCATCCCTTTAACTACCGGGCTAATTTGCATTGATTGTATCTCAAATATGGGATCCAGTGTGGGTAGTATTCAATAATTCTAACTTCCAGACATCTTTCCTTCCAAACGTTCAAGTTTTCTTGATCTCTTTCAAACAGTTACGATCTTTCAAAGACAATTTATAATTTGCATTAAAAATGACCTCTTTGTACATGTTTTATTTAGTTCTTAATGGTTTTGTTCAACCAACTATGACTAACGGTGAAGGGGCGTCAGGATTTCATGAATATCAAATACAATTTGTTAAAAATCTCATCGACGACTCATTGGATGAATTCAGGTATGGTACGGATTTAAGTTGTGCATAAAGTTAGTTAGGTGGTAAATCATGTCTTTATATGCCTTGTGTCTTTTTAAGGATAAACTTCCATCAAGATATAGTGAACCTCCAAGTGGAAATGTTACGGCAATTTCAAATCCAACAGGTACATACTGGTTTGCTTTTGCACCATTGTTACCATAGATAATCATCATTGTTACCATAGGTAAACATGATTGTCACCATGGATAATCCAATAGGTCTGTCTGAACTGCGACAGTGTCTTCGGGCCGTTTTACCTCCCGTGCGGAGCTACCGAGCATTTTTAACATGCACCGTGCATAGCTGCATGTTGCCAGTTGTCGACAAGTCTGGAACAAGCTGTTAGCACCTTGTTACAAGGTTGATGACGGTAACAGACTTGCTACAAGTTGTTCCAACAGGACTATTACATGATGTTCGAGCTTGTGTTGTTATCCACTTGTTAACAACTTGTTACGTGCAGACGATATCAGACTTGTTGGAACAACTTGTTGCGAGTCTGTTGGCCTCATCAACCTTGTTACAAGATGATAACAATGGGCGTGGCAAAGCAATGGAAAACGGCCTTATACATAAAATGTAAACTTAAGTAATGTTTTCTCATTCAGAATGAAATGAAAGCACTTCTCGAACAATATTCATTAAACGATGCCTTGGTCGCAGAGAATGAACGATTAAAAGAAGAAATTAAGAAGTTGAAATCAACGCATTGAATTTCCTACAAGATCATATATGTATCCTTGTATCCATTCAGGGTATCTTTGTATCCATATGTAACGTAAGATATACCAATAGGTGAACCTAAGGTCCTGTCAATCTTTGGTTAATCTTGAGATAAAGTCGATATAAATAGAACAAACAAGTCCTGGGGCAATATAAATCGTGGGTCCTAAACGAAATTTTGTGTGGGGAACAGTGAACATACTCATTCGTAAAGTTGTAAATATTTGTATTAGAGTATTTAGCGAATTTGTGTTTTCATCAATACCAGTGGGAAATGTTCAGTAGATTTTGCAAAAATTCATTGGAAGTAGGCCAAATTATTTAAGCCATTTCTGGTTATATTGGATATAGCTCTATCTGTTTTATACTATTCTTCCCACAGGACATCGTTTGTATGTTATATGTTGCAATTAATACACTCTTTCCGGAAAGTATTTAGCCGTGGCCATATAGAGCCCCGTTTCGTGATTAAGACGTCAAAGACCTTATACGATTGACGTTTTCGTCAGACCGTTGACCGTTCGAAGTTATATGAATTAGCTACTTAGCTGATAGAACTACATGGTTTCGTAAATGCGTCATCAAATATCTCAATCACGAAGACGATGCTTTATACAGCCAAGATCGAGCATTTTCCGGAAGGGTATATTGGCAATTAAAGCCGGCGCGAAAAAACATGCGGTCATTTTGGAGCCATAGACATTGTGAAAAAAATGTGGTGAATTACAGGACATCAGAAATAATAAAATGAAAATTTACTAACAATGTTTTCAATAATATGGATTATGCGTAAGTGTTATAACAAAAATTTCAAAACGCTTTGAAAATAGTTTTTAGGTAAATAATTTTCAAGTTCATCTTTCGAAGCCCAGATTGAGTGGGTCCAGGCATCATCTGGATATCTGTGTATTGCTCCCTGGACGTTGGCTTGGTAGAAGAAAATCTGAAAGAAAATTGAAAATCTTGCATAAAACACGTGCTGTCTTCTCACCAGGGTCATATGAACGACACTGGATGTCAGTGTTGCAAGACAGAGGGTATTAAACCTTCTTTCAAGCTAATAATTTTTTGGCAAAGTTTGATTTGTTCGGAGCATGATGAGGCGGAATTTTGGAATGGGAAATTATTTTACTTTTTTGTGGAATATGGAACTTTTTCTTTACTGCTCAACAGAATGAGTATTTGTTTTTCAAAACTTGATGTGGAATACGAAATGTGAAATTTTCAAGATTTCAAAATTTGCCTCATCTGGCCTCTCCTGAAATGGTCTGTCCCTGTAAACTGAACTAAACTACACTTCAATTAGTGCAGTCGACCATAGCACACCTTTGGAGTGTCTGTCGGCAGTCCATCTCTCTCAGGTCTTCTATAAACTCCTGAAGGCGAGTTACTCATAAACTGTACACTTAGTTCACCATGAACATGATTGCTTATCATCCTCTCTGCTGCCTAAAAGAAAAGGTTAGGAAGACACACACGTCAAGAAAACGTTTGTTTATCCTACATATACATACATAAAATGTGAGCAAAATTCATGAACAAAAAACAATTCACTTGTTGAAGAAGACCAATTCTTCACCTGTCTTAGTGTTTCCTCTGGTTCTACTGGACCTTGTGGCAACTGCCATTTTGTAGCATCCTCCTTGTTTTGCATCAAAAGAAACAATGGTATGTCTAGTTGTCTATTTGGGGAATGTTTGTTGCCTGTGTCATCCGCATCTGTTCTAGGACTGCCCAAGACAGCATCTTTTATATGTTGTTGCTCTATATCTTGCAGTTCCTAAAACAATTATGTACATGTACTGGTTGTGGTCTTGGACTTGGGTGTTTAACTTTTTTGCTGATGTTACTATGATCTCTACTATGGGCAAGCTGAAAAATTGCTTGACTGAGGTGGGAATTGAACCTAGCAAACCAAGGGTGACTGGTTCAATTCCCATCATGGCCAAGCAATGTGTTAGTTTGCCCAGTGTGGAGACAGAAGAGTGATAGACAGAAGAAGGACAAGGTAAAAGAAGGAAGCTGAGAGCAGAATTGGGAAGAACGTGGCTCAAACAATAATCCTTCATCGTAGCACCTGATATTCTGAATCTAACGTTGCAACTTCTTTTTTCAAAGACTCATTATCTTCATCAATTTTTAACTTCTCCCGCAAATTTTTCATTTTAATTTTATACACTTCGTAATCTGACAACGAACTGTGTTCAAACTCGAGCTGCTCTTGCAGTTCTGCATAAAGTTTTTCTAGATCTGTTTTTTCACAAGTTATTATCGGTAATCTTTGGAGACACACAGCAACTTGTATTCGAGGTACGTCATAGTTTAGTGACGCTGGTGTGTTTGTAGCCACTGCAGCAGAGGTGAGTGATCTTGATGAAGTACTTGGCCCTGTGACAAAATTATGATATTACCTTTTAACATCCAATGCTTTCCCTTTGAATATAATTGTCTTCCATTAGATAGGGTAACAAAGATAGGTACAGGGTGAATTATAATTTAAGCCCGGTCTCCATGTGGCTACATACATGTAATTTGCCTTGGCAAATATATTGGTTACTTTGACAGAGTTCCAACAGTTGAGAGCTGATTGGAAACAAGCCTTTACCATTGTCGCTAACATGCTCATCTATCATACTACTCAACAATATGTGGGCCTAGCAGATTGTACTTTCCGGGCAGGGGTGGGGCTTTCCAGGGGGGGGAGGGGGGCTGGAGTTAGATTATCTGTTGTCCATAAACTATGTCAGTAATGTCACTAGGCTTACAGTTAAAAACATCCCTACTAAGGGATTTCACAAAATTGCACACTATATAAAACATAGTTAATATTTATATGTTATTAATATAGTTAATATTTAACTGTCATATTACAGCACAGTCGCACAGAGGGCATTTTAGGGCAGGTAATGTTGTGCGATCTGTGCGGAAATTTACCTGACCAAAGAGTTCCTGAGTCTCTACAGTTCTTATACGAAATCATCCCACAACTTGAGGAATAATTTCGCGTTTTGATAAAGCCTAAAGCGCGATCGTACAGCCACTTTTGATGCATTCGAGCCGCCATGTTTACAGTGGGCACAATATACCACCGGATATGTTGACTTAGGGAAAAACCCCGAGCACCAAACATACCTATAACAGCCTATACTTCCCTTTAAATTTTCGAATTAGTTTGACTTCCTTCTATCATTTTTGCGTTTTTCAAAGCTTTTTATCCCAAGGATGACCTCAGTAATAGTGTTTGGAGCTTCGGTAAGCTTTTCTTTATATGCTCAACGGTTTTGACGTGCAAAATTTCTCGCTAAACGTATATTTCGAGGTATATTTACTTGCATATTTTCTGACTTTTAGGGCGATTTGGCTAAGAAGAAAATATACCCAAGTTTATGGTTAGTAGAATTAAATTTTATGACTCATTAAGGAAACTATATTTTGCCTAAATTGAAGAGTTTGCTTTGATGCTGTTTTACTAAAGTGTTTTTGTAAATTTAGGGAACTTTTCAAAGACAAATTGCTTCCAGAGGGCACACAATTCATTGGGTATGCACGCTCAGATTTGACAGTTGCTGCTTTGCGAGCGAGAGTAGAGCCGTATTTCAAGGTATATGTTGTAGAAATTTATAAATGTCTAGTAGATCTGTAGTATTATAGGGAAAAATAGGTTTTGCGATGTATTTTGTTGTGTTGGGGAGGATTTTGCTATGTTTTGATACATGCATGCGAGTTATGTAACTTGATTTGCAACAAATTAATTAGTTTACCGCGAACTATCCTCAGTTTATATCTGATGAATTTACTAATTGAATACCTAATCTATCGAGATGTATATGTTATAGATCTATTGTTTGTAACTTTTTGAGTGTATAGAATTTGTTGATTATTGATTATGAGTAGTTAATTGTTGATTATGAGTGGCAGATAATTGTTTAATTGTTATTATTTGGCTGAGATTGTGATGATTATTTCACTAAGTGATTCATTGTTATTTCTGTTGATTGATTTGATTAATAATTTTTGGATTGATTTATGGCATGAATTATTGATATTATTATTGATTGATTGGTGAATTGATTTATTGATTGTATAATTAATTGATTGATTGTGTAATTAATTGATTGATTGTTAGATAATCAATTGATTGAGTTATTGATTGATCCATTAAATAAATTATTCATTGATTGATCGCCCAGTGTATTGATTAATTGATTGAAAGATTGATTATTTGATTGAGTAAATTGATGATTGACTGAATGTTTGATTCAGTGACTGATTGATTGATTAATTAATTAATCATTAAGTTATTGATTTATGATTCACTTAATTTATTGATTAGTTTAGTGTTTGAGTTTCTTATTGACTCTCACTGATTGAGGGATAATTAATTGATTATCCCATTGAGCACCCTTAATTAACAAGTAAAGTCATCTGTTGTTAGACAGAGTAAAATAATAAAGCAGAGCACATTGGGGTGCAATGCAACTTAATGGATTAATGTATTCATTTCAGGTTAAAGATGAACATAAGAAAGATTTAGAGCAATTTTTCCAGCAATGTTTCTATGTGAAGGGATCTTATGACAAGAAGAAGGACTTTGAACATCTTGGCAAAGAGTTAGACAAATTGAATAAAAGCAAAACGGTTAACCGAGTATTTTATCTCGCATTGCCGCCCTCGGTTTTCAAAGATGCGACAACTAATATCAAGAGTTGCTGTATGTCTAAAACGTAAGATGTGCTTAATTTTTTTTACAATGAAAAAGTCACTTATGTAAATTAATACTGTGTGTATTTTCATGAAGTGTTTTCATAAACCTGACTATACATGTATCATTTTTAAGAGGATGGAATCGCATTGTTGTTGAGAAGCCATTTGGAAAGGATTTTGACAGTTCAGCAGATCTGTCCAATCACATTGCCAATGTGTTTGTCGAGGAACAGATTTATAGAATAGATCATTATCTGGGCAAGGAAATGGTGCAGAATCTCATGGTGCTCAGGTGCGTGATTTTGATGTGATATCACATGACTTTACATAACATACACGACCTAATTCATACTGGAAGTCTGGGATAGATCATGCGATTGGCATTACTGGCTATTATCAACAACTATTTTCTAATAAAAGTGGGTTCTAACCATGCCCAATTCTGGCATGGCAAACTATAACCTGTTTAAAATTGTATTTTTAGGTTTGGCAACATGATTTTCAGCCCAATTTGGAATCGCAATCACATTGCGAATGTCACTATTCAATTCAAAGAAAATATTGGCACAGGTGGTCGCGGTGGTTACTATGATGAATTTGGAGTAATCAGGTAGGTTGAGAAGTGCACACCATCACATGTAGTTTTCATTTAATACTTGTTCATGCATTTGCCTTCAACCTAGTTATTTTGAAATTCTAGAGATATTCTTCAAAACCACATGATCCAGACATTATGCCTTATTGCAATGGAGAAACCATGTTCGAAACATGCTGAAGATCTCCGCAACGAAAAGGTAATGGTGTAGACATTGTTTTGTATTTCTGGATTTACAAATGTACAAGAAGGGAAAGAAGTGAGGGGGGGCGACCACCCCCTACCCCCAGAATTTACACTCTTGGAGGTTGTAAAATTCACTTCATGCCAAACTTTCTATCAGGAGGCCACAAATACCAGGGCCACTGAGAGGTTGTGTGCCCCCCCCCCCACCCCTCTTGGTGGCACTGACAAATACTATAGACTTAATAAGCTTTTCATTCTTTATACTTCCCTAAGGTGAAAGTGTTGCGTTCCATGCCACCAATCACAATGGACAATGTCGTGTTGGGACAGTATGTGGCTAACCCAGACGGTGAGGGTGAAGCAAAGGTGGGGTACCAAGATGACCCTACAGTTCCCAAAGGGTCCGTTACTCCGACGTTCACAGCGTGTGTTGCTTACATCAAGAATGAACGATGGGATGGCGTCCCTTTCATTCTCAAGTGTGGAAAAGGTCAGTAGAAGATGATACTGCAGTGTTTAATATTTAAAAGGAAAGAGACAAGGTGTTAATCGTCTTTCCTTGCAGCTGAGATCTGAATTGTGAAAGACGAAGATTAAACTGGTTTACAGAGCACCTCTTGTTGCCATCTACCCTGCCAGCAAAGTTTAATACGAGAGGACTTTGCTCGCAGGGTAGTTGCCATCATTATACGATTCTACTGTGATTTGGTTTTTCTTTTTCTGATAGATGTATGTGTAAAGGTCTGTAAATGAGTAGTGAATATTCAGACGTGGGTACTTATATTAAAATAAATCTATACAGTCAGAACATTCATAACTCATGTACTTGTTCACATGCTTAAATCAGAATGTAATATGACTTAAGCCCCGTTTACACTACGCTCAATTTTTGGTACGGCACGGATAAAATTGGTACCCGTACCACTTTTTTGGTTCTTGGACTACCTATATCCAACAACCAAAAGAGTGGTACGGGTACCAATTTTATCCGTGCCGTACCAAAAATTGAGCGTAGTGTAAACGGGGCTGTAAAGTCATTGCAGGGTAGTCACTCATTAAGTAACAACCAATCCTCCCTAATTGGAAGTACACTGTAGTCCTGGTCAAACGGAGATGAGAGTCGATGAGAGTTGAGAAGCGAGAGTTTGCGTGAGAGTTTTCTCAACTCTCATGTCCCGGTCCAACGAGAACAAGAGTTACATAAGAGTTTATGAGAGTTGAGAAACGAGAGTTTGCATGAGAGTTTCTTAACTCTCGTGTCCCGGTCCAACGAGAACAAGAGTTGCATGAGAGTTGATGAGAGTTGAGAAGCGAGAGTTTGCATGAGAGTTTTCTAATTTTCTTAACTCTCATGTCCCGGTCCAATTAACGAGAACAAGAGTTGATGAGAGTTGAGTGGATATTACCGCGCGCATAGTGAAAACTCTCATCAACTCTCATCAAAATTTGAAGCAACACAAAATTGATTAAGAGTTGACGAAAGTGCATGAGAGTCGATGAGAATTGGCGGCCAAACACAAATAGAATTACAATTATTGTCAACTGCAACTCTCATCCTTGTTTGACCAAGGCAGGGTATTCAAATTTTTATGCATGTTCTGTTCGTTTCCCACAGCTCTAAACGAAAAGAAGGCCGAGATAAGAATCCAGTTTAAAGACGTCCCTGGTGATATATTTGGAGGAAAGTGTAGCAGGAATGAATTAGTCATACGTCTTCAACCTAAAGAGGTTCGATTATAATTTGAGATTAATTGGTATTTTAATTAGATAATTGAGATTAATTGAGGTTAGTTAATTGATCGGTTTCTTCTTTGATTGCTTCCTCAGGCAATTTATATCAAGATGATGGTGAAGGAGGCTGGAATGTCGTTTGAACCCATCATTAGCGAGATGGACCTCAGTTATGATTCAAGATATAAGGTACGACAATCATTAGGTACACAATACTAGAGGGTCCTGAAGGGGTAAAATGGGAACTGGGATTTGCTTATTTTTTGGGTGGGAAAATGGGATTTCATGCACTGGGACTGGGATTCATCAGCAAAAAAACAATAGAAAATGGGAATGGGATTAAGATTTGAGCAGGACAGCCACTGAGATGATGGGATTTGTGCTCTGGGACAATGGGATTTAGTCAAAAGGACCCTCATACTATACTGACTGTAGTTGTATTGTGCAGGGCCGTAGGAAGCTCTTTTCGATTGGGGGGCTGAAAGCGAGGGGCGAAGGCTCGAGGAAATTTTTAAATTTAGAGTCTCTAAAATGCCATTTCCTGGACTTTGGGGGAAGATTTAACAGAATTCTGATAGTCAGAAAACAGCGTTTTAGTATGTCGAAATTTACAGGAAAGTATGGGCCAGACTGTAGTATTATAAATGCGCGGCGGGAATTTTCGTCGTAAATGGCAGTTGCGTGGAAATGAAGGCAGAACATTTGAGAAAATTTCGAAAATCTGGAGTCTCTAGATGGTCTGAAATGGCATTTTCAGAGTTTTCTTTCGCAAGACCCAACACGCAAAAGACAAAATAAATCATTAGTTCATCAAAAATGTGCAGATTTTGTGGGATTTTCTTGAAAATGCGCGACAGAAATTCAGCTAAAATTTCTACGCGAGGAACGATCTGGAGTATGAGTAATATCTTCATTTTTTGCAGTTTGTCACAGATTAAATGATAAAGTTTGCATGATTTTGAAAAAAGAATGATTATTAGCAAATTATTGGGGGGGCTGCAGCCCCCCCCAGCCCCCCCGGTTGCTACGGCCTTGTTGTGCCCTTGTGTAAAGCGTGATGTCATTATGTAACTGATTGTATTTTCATGTTTTCAGGATGCTAAATTACCTGATGCTTATGAAAGACTTATTTTGGATGTCTTTTCAGGAAGCCAGTCACATTTTGTGAGAAGGTGAAGAATTTTTTTATACCATTACACAGTAAATTAATGAAATCAATGGTTTCCGTCCGAATTGTCATAATATGATATTATATAACAACTATATGTACCTAAATATTTATTCTTGCAGTGATGAATTAGCGGAGGCATGGAGAATTGTTACCCCGCTTCTGCACAAGATTGAAACTGAGAAGATAAAACCAATACCTTACAAATTTGGAACGTAAGTATACAATGCATTGCGGTTTGAAGATGGCGACCGTATTGATGAAAAGGTCCATATTCTTGTAACATTCTTTGATTTCTTAGACGAGGCCCCGAAGAAGCGGACAAACTTGTACAACGCGTTGGATTCCAGTACACTGGTCGGTATTCGTGGAAAGCTTCGATATAGGAGAGTGGTTCTGTGCGTGGCGCAATGTAGGTAGACCATAAACTAATATGTGTGATAATTCTAATAATCGTAGAACGATTTTTAGAACTGATTGGACTTGGATATATTTTTAATGATAATTAGCTAATTATTTACATTAATTACATTACCGTATGTAGTATAGTAAATAATTACCGAACATATAATTTTGTTAATGAGTGTAGTTGGTTAAGATGACCAAGTGGAATTATCAATTATGTAGCATAAGTAATTATTGGACGAGATTAATCAGTAGTATTCGATTGTGATATTAAAACAATTTCATAAAAATTTCACCATATTCAATATTCATAATATTGCAAAATATATGTACGGAAAATGTAGGTATATATCCAGTGATTACATGAGTACGATAAAATGCATTAAAGGCTTAGGAAAAGAAATTCTACCCCGTAAAGAGCCTCACAAAGTGGACCGCTTCATTTATATATCTACCTATCTGTATCAGAGAGCCACACCGCCCCTGGCTAGACATATTTCCAAACGTGCTCTAATTTTCTCAGCAGTTGTGCAGTGATCATTTTGAGTCATGCAGTTCTGAATACATACCAGCAGCATGACTGGTGTCAAACAGTTCCGCGATAAAATCAATACGCGCTGAAAAAACATGTAAAAATAAAATTTAATAAAAATAAAACGCAAGCTGAGATCATAACTCGAACGGTGTGTGCCAACATAGGATTGAGAAGGAATTCAAATACCTAAAAATACAAGCAAAACTTCGACATTCGTGTACATTTTGTACAACAAATGCGCAAATTGAACTGTTTTTGAACGGTTCCTCAGTCCTTACGCCAGAAAGTTGAGCGAAAAGATACCGGGGTGGCAGAAGCCATGAAAAGGGGGTGGCATATAATGTAGTACAGCCGAAATCGATACATACTGACCTCATGCAGGGTATACTTATTCACTTAGGTGTAAAATGAGAAATATTTCCTGTGGATCATTGCGAATTTGAGCTTAGCTGTAGGAAAAAGGAAATCCCTAAGTCACAACATACTTATACTGGTAAAAAAACTGAACAGATATGTCCCTGAGGGAAAATGGATCGTTTGCGCAAAAAAATATTATCAAGGAATCGCAGCGAAAATAATTTTTTGAACACGATCTACGCAGACTAAACCTTTAGGCCTATATAAAATTGTTACAGAATTCGCAGCATTTCACAAAGCATACGTTCATATCATGAAAATTGAATTGTAGTTTGTTTTATACACTAAACTGTTCATGTATTCTCATTGATACAATGATACATTCGAATAAAGGTCTTTTGTCAATAGATGACGCACCTTTTTTCAACAACATGAAGTGTGTTGAAAGGTTATCGTATACATCATTCTTAATTATAGCAATTACTCAAGTGCAGACACAATGTTGGCACACTATTCTGGAAATCATAGAGGTCAAATTTAATCGAGAAATCTTCTTAATTGCAGTCTGCGAGTAGAATTGATTAGAGCACGGTGATTAGAGCGACTATAAACACATGTGAATCTCGCAAATTGTACCAATTTTTCTACCATATTCGTTAATATCAAATACACACGCCAAGCGGTCGCCCACTGTGCGGATTCTAATGAAAACAAACTGCGCAAATTCCTCAACTCTTGTTGCGCGCTGTGAAGTATTGGAATAATATACGCGCAGTTTATGTGAATAATTTGCGTCGATATTTCCAATGCGCAATCTTTCAAACATGAATGTGAGTGTAATATTTTTCATCGCGTGTTTAATTCACTTTGATATTCTCTTGGGGAATTCTTTGGATCTCGCAAGCCATGACGAAGAAGGGGACGTCGATTTACCAGAAGCTCTCGGCGATGACTTCGATATGTCCTACTTGAAATGTACGAGCGAAGGATGCGAGCTCGTCAAAGGTTCTATAAACGAGTTAGCGAAGCCAGGTCCTTGGGAAGTGGAGAATGAGGAAGCTCAGAGTCCCCACTCGCGCTCGAAACGGAAGATGTTCTTGCCCGATAATAGATTGCGTCTTCGTGAACAAAGTGTTGGTCGGTTTCCTTTCAACAGCGCTGTAGCGATACGAGTGAATGGTGAAGTAAAGTGTAGTGGAGTAGCTTTATTACGGCCTCGGTTCTTTTTGACTGCAGCGCATTGTGTACAACCTGATGGAAAGCGGAAAGGTAGGTGTGAATTAGAGGGGGTAGAGTGCGGAGTGGGCAATAATGTTTTCAAATGGAGTTGGGGGAGGGAGGGAGGGAGGGTGTTTAAGCCTGGTTCACATTAGCAATTTTGTCGGCGATTTTGTGTTTCTGACGGATGCAAATGAGTGAACTCGCACACAAAAGTATAGAGTCGCTTTTCAGAAGTAAACAATTTTAAGTCTTTTGTATGTCATTCATTCCATCACATTTGTCAAGAGGGGAAACATCGCCGACAGAATTGCTAGAATGCTGGTGCGAACCAGGTTTTAATAGTGGTGTATAATGATATCAAAGGGAGGCGAGGTCAGTGGGAAGGTCAGGAATTCATAGGGTGGGAATCATATTTTCAAGTGAGACTTAATGGATGATACGATTTGGGGTGATTTGTGGATGTCTGAAGATGGAATTATGTGTTGAAGATGAGTTGGGGAAGCACGATATTCTGAATTGCTTTGAGATTTTCGTCAACCTAGGATTAAGCTAAGAAGCTTTTGAACAACCGTTTTGAAAGATTGATTGCAAAGATAGATTGATTGCAAAGATTTCAACATTTTTAGAACAAGTGTGAAAGTCTATCTCACAGATTTGGCCCTCTTGGCCACTTGGCCCATGTTTTGTTACATCTGTTTTGTGAAATATGTACTGTGACTGTGTGAATGTACTGTATAGATGTATTAACTCTTCATAGCTACTCATTGTAAATATAGTACTTGTTAATATAGATTAGTTAATTTAGTGATAGAAGAGCCAATTCAATTTGGAATCGCTAATAAATCATTATTATTATTATTATTATTATTATTGAACATGACCTCTCATGCCTATCAACTGTTTTATAATGTTCTCTTCATTTTTGACATGAAATTTAGATATTGAAGTTGGTGTTCTACACAAATTTCGGGTGATGCAGTGGGCTAAAGTCGAAAATACACGTGTGCATCCTATCTGGAAATCGAGAAAGGTAACGATGGCTTCAAAACGTCTTTTGTTTACGTTTGGTATTTTTTGTAAGGTCTACTATTTTTGTTTTAAAGTGG